AGTTACAAAAAAGCTCGATCAGACATATCGTGGTTGCTGGCAATATGCATCCAAAAGAATATACATTATTCAGATGAAATGTTAACAACTAACTGGCGATCACAATATTTATCGCAAGCATCGATCAAGAAATAAGAAACGGAAACTTAACTAACAAAATTTATCATTATGAATTCAATTTTCACCATAAAATTAAACGATCAAGCTTAGTTTTCTTTTATATACCTAACAGCCAAGTATTACATAGATATCATAAAGTGATCAGAACGTAAAAGAAATAGGCGATGATTAGAAATTCTCTATCCATAGTGGGAATTAAAGATTACTATTTTTGATAGAAATCTTGTACTTTATGGAGTTCGGGATATGGGGCAAAGAATATACGAAAACAGTAATAGAAAAGTTCACATTGGTCGTGGTAGTAACTATGTCATCCCAGAGTGAACATTAACTTTGAGATGCAGGTACATCCAGCTGACGAGTCCCAAATAGGACGAAACACGCGTCCTGGATTCCACTGCTAACCACTATCCATCTCTGCTAACCATATGTCTTATCAGTTTATATGTTAAGCCCATATAATTCATTCGATCTACTGGCCAAGCTAATACACCTATACATTATAAGTCATATTTTGATCTTGTAAATTATTCGCTTATTAACCTTGACTACTTTTTATATGAGCGTATATGTATGCACAATTCGTATCTTATTCATCATATGTCTGTCATCGACTTTTGTCTGACTATAAATATTGATTAATGCTTGCTTATAGTGAGTTAGCTTCCCCGCCATCTCCAATATGCATTATTTTCGCTTCACTCTTGAGTTGGCTTACCAGCCATCTCCAATAACATTGGCTAATGTGCTTACAGCTTTCTGGTCTACGTTATTTGTCAATTAAAATGTAGTTACTGCTTCTCTTTGCCTTCTGATAATATACACCGTTAAGATTGGTATTATAACGGTTATCAGGTTGTTATAATTGTATTTTTGCTATATAAACGACCCAGCTATTCCTATTGCTTAGTATTCTTATACGATGACACTCGACAAGACCCCAAAATCAAAACACGTTGAACAGGCATGAAATTGTATTCAAAAATAACAATGGTAGGTGAACAGCAATCAGCCATCAGCAATCCGCAATCAATAGTTTAAATATCATTCATATATTTATAGTATATGCATAAGAAGCTTATAGATTTTTCTGCCATAATATGTCCGAGCTGATCGGTTTAAAATTAACCAATCAGCGCGCAGCAACACCATTATTCATAAAACATGCTTAATCCAATCTATATCCCACTAACACAGGATGAACGATTAACAAAGCACGGCACTACAACTAAAACTGTGATAAACAAACCTCCAAAATCAATTTGAAGCTTATTTGTTATTGTCAATGTTAAATCTATAATGGTTTATAAATATTAATGTTTCTTATGTAACATCTGATACAGACAACAAAACATACAGCTATTTATTATGATGGATAGTATCGTTTATGTTCGAATCACTGTAGATGGAGATACCGGTGTTATTTCATTCACTTTCTAACCCTGAATTTATTTAAGTAACTTGAACTGTTTTCAAACATTAGACTGTTATGTCATGTGGCCTTGTGCCCTTATCAATATATCACGTAATAATACCGCCAATTAGAGAACGGTGATTTATCGAACGGACCTATGACGCGCACAACTCGTACCAACAGTCTATAATCTATATCGGTCCTTCTTCCTGACTAGCTCTGCCTGCCTGTTGAGTCCAAAACACCAATCTCAGCCTCCACGATATAAATTATATATTTCAAACATATTAGGTTTATATACAGACAAAACAGACCACATCGTACTACAAAATAGAAAATAATATTTGTACAAGATTTAGCCAGAAGTGGTTGTGAATGTGGGGGATAGTAACTGATAAACTGGACATAACTCAAGTATGGTAAATCGTATAATAATAGTATATATGGGTCAGAATGAAGTTTATAATAATAGGGACGCTAATATGCATAGTTTAGTTACTTAATAATTATACAATATGAATACATGTATCGTATTGGTCCATAAATAGTTCTCAAAAGTTATCACAGAAAATGATTACGTTTAGTTTCATAACTACTGAAACTGTACTATCTTCTTAGATAGATCAAATAACTAAACCGAAATTTAGATTCACCTGATATTGTTTACTTGTATCTACCCATTGTTATTTAAGACTGCAATTGATAAGTCTCTTATTGGCATATATGTTAATTGGATAACGCTATGGCGTTTGAAACGAACGGCACTGGGTTCGAGTCCTTGAGTGAATATCAACTCCGAGATGCAGGTATATCCAGCTGACGAGTCCTAAATAGGACGAAGTATGCATCCTGGATTCCAATGCTAGCCACCATCCATTTTTGCTTATAAAGTCCCCAAAATTTAATTCTAAAGTTGACTTTAAAATGATATTTTAATAAGTAACCCTAGAAACCTTCATTAATATCTGAATATTAATTAACTGGAAAGCTTCCTGCATCATGTTAGAAATAAATTTTGTCTTCAACATTTTAGCTCATTCACGTTCAGTTGAGATCCTTTTTATTTCAATCATATTACTTGTTAGTAACCATAATTTATTTCCGGGAGTGGGGTATTTATGAAGAGATTTTAGTAATTTTATAGTGGAAATCATGATAATAATCATGTGCTCACTAGTGACTGGCTTCAAGAGATATTTTCTGGAGTTCTAGTGAGAAGCAGTGACCAGTGAAGTTCAACTAGGTCTGTTGTGAGATATCAACTCATTGAAGACATTAATTAATGGTTGCTCAATTTCGTGAATTGATTGAAGTTAGATATTAACATCGTTGGGTACCGCCCAGTTCAGTGGTCAAGAGGTTAAGCGTTGGTGCGCGAAACTGATAGGTCCTGGGTTCGAATCTTGTGAGGCGGTATAATGGTTAGGCTCTGCTGAGGAGTCCCATAATAAGACGAAACGGTTGTCTAGTACTTCGAGGTTTTCGATGGTGGTCTAGCTTCAATTGACTCATGATTTCAACTATAATTTATTTAGTTGGATTTCATGAACAACTTAAAATTCCTTTCTTATTAACTGATATTATTTATTTATTCCTCATTGAATGCTTCAGATAAACAAATACTTAACTGTTAAAAAAGCAGAACTCAATTTGAACTATTCATTTTACATGAATTCTTAGTTCAAATTAGTGAGTTGGAGCTGATGAAGAACCTTTGAAACATTGACGAAATGATTGTCAATAGATTTCAGGAGAAAAAAAATAAGTACATCAGCTCAGCAGTAGTTTGTTAATAATACAGTGATGAGTGAAAAAGAGATCAACGTTCTATGAATGAGATAGCCATTTACATTTTCTCCTGTCAGATATTCAATAAGATCATTATGGATTCCTCCGGAGTAACTCGGTTAAATCCACTGTATACGTATAATATTTATTTATTGTCATATTTTGAGATTATTGCAAACTTATTATAAATTTACAATAAAATGTTTTATCATAAGCAAAGATGGATAATGGCTAGCAGTGGAATCCAGGATGCTCCTTTTGTTCTATATGGGACTCGTCAGCTAGATGTACCAACATCTCAGAGTTCATGTTCATTCTGGGACTCGAAACCAGTACATTTCGCTTCAAAGGCCATCGCGTTATTCAGTCGGTTACTGAGTCCTGATAGCCACTTGCTTGTGCAATGGGGTGAAATTTGAATACCAAGTGAATTCAAATGTTTTATCAGTCGCAACTACAATAAGAACTATACTGTTTATTTTGAATGAGATCTGTTGATATAACATTCATTGCTTGAGTTACTTAGGAGTTAAACAAAATGGCATCAACATTTTCAATCAGACACCTACATCATTTTATTGTAAATCTGTGGAGGCGGCCCACGGGTTAACCTGAAGGAGCTCTAAGAAGTTCTGAGAGAGCCAAACATATTCCATTCAATCATCTTTTGGAAGAATATTACAAAATCTCTACATGTAGCTTCCCCACCGGACAAATTTAAATAACCCCTTGTATGCAGATTGGATGACTATAATGATAATTTCGTTTTTACTATAAAAAAAACTATGACTACCTGATAGTTTTGTATCATATTTAACAATATATAGAATGTCATTCCTTTCACGATTGACTGATCACTGGGTGGTGATCAATGTCATGCGTGTCAAGTCCTTATTAGTAAAGATAGAATGCTATCGATCAAGTTGCAATGTTGCCACTAGTCTAGGTGGCTCGACACTGAGTGCACTATGTTGAGATAAGATGGTGGTTGGAGGTGGTCAACAGGAAACCCTAGACGCATGTTTCATGCTACTTGGCACCCGTCAGTGAGGTGTACCTGTAATCTCTAAGGAACTAGTGTTCCATGAAGCATTCTATCCCGTGTCACCCGGCTTCACAATCAGAGACGTTACACTGAGCTATTCAGGCTGCGACCGTCTCCAACCACCATCTTATATCATTCCTTTCATTTATCTTTTGTTTTCTCATTTTTAAATTGGAAGGTTCTAGAGTTCGGAAGCTCAACTTATACGCTGTATATTAAGAATCTAAGCTCTAGATATAACAAAATCTAATAAAATGATTCGCAAATTTCAAGTATTTAAATCGTACTCTATAAGACTACTTCTAGATTTTTTTTCATTGATCAAAAGGCATAATGTTATATAATTGAGATCATGAGTCAAATGAAGCTAGACCACCATGGAAAATGTGGAAGTACTAAACAGTTTAGTGCTCGCACACGAAACTGTCCTGGGTCCGAATCTAGCGTGACGGGATCATGGATGCGTACTGCTTAGAAGTCTTACAATAACACGAAACGACCATCCAGTGTTTCTAGGCTTCCCATGATCTCAAGTATATAAAATTACTAAAATCTCCACAAAACCCCCTTTCTGACAAAAAATATATAATTGTCATAATAAAAAGTTTTTTTTCTTTTTTTTTTCGTTTTTTTCGGATTATTTATACATTGTAAAATCATTATTGATTATTAATATTCAATTTTATATGATTTTAACTTTAAATAAAGTTTAAAATTATAAACATAAAAAAGAAAGAAAAAAAAGAAGAAAGAAAAAAGAGAAAAAGAAAGAAAAAAAGAAAGAAAGAAGAAACAATGAGGGATAAAAAAGTTGTAATCAATAATAAAAGAATATCTCAAGGGATTTTCGTAGATATTATAATAATTTCAATAATTGAAATCATCAATCAATTGAACTTAGATCACCATGAAAAACTTGGAAACACTAGACAGAGGAATCCTATAATAAAATGAAATGGACATCCAATACTTTCACAGGTTTTCTATAGTAGTCCACCTTTAATTGACTAATCATTTCAACGATTGAAATAAAATGATTAACTCAAAAAAAAGTAACCTTGGTTACATGGTTAATTATTCAATTTCATATTATGAATGAAATAAGTAGTAGAATTGATGCCAGAAAAAAAAAAGATAAAAAAAAATTGATTATTGATCTATGTTTTATAATAAACGCATTGAAAGAATGTTATTTTTTTATTATTTTTTTTTAATTGTTTCCATAGAATCTATTGAGCAGCTATAGCTGTTGAATCTTTTTGTAAATTAGCTTGCATACGTACTTGATATTTTGGTGATTCGATGGGTTGATGTTTCATAATGTTCTGATTATTATTACCATTATAGTTAGTATGATCATCATCATCATCAACATCATCATCGCCATCATTATTATGACGATGATCTCTGTTATTATTATTATTACGATGTAATCTTTCTAATATTGGTGATGTTGAATTACTATAACCAGGTGGAAATACTCTATAACGATCATATGACATATGTATTGTTGAACGACGTCTTAACATTTCAACAGCTTGTAAACGACGTTCTCTAGCATATGGTGTTTCATGATGTAATAAAAATGGTGATATATTTGCTGGGATATCTAAATCATTTTCATCTTCATGTTGTATATTACTATATTGATTATAAGTAGTATCATAATCATTATGTTTATTAATATGATTAGATGATTGATTAATATCTTGTATATCTGTATGAATTTTGATTAATTCCGTAAAATATGATACTAAACTTTTTACATTTGGTATAGGTGTATCTCTAGTTTTTACTAAATTAGGAAATAGATCCGTTGTTGATTCTGTAGAATGATTCAATGTTGTATTGAAATGATTTGAATTGGTTGTATTTAATAATAATGAATTCATATTTGTTATATTAGATAAATGACTTGATACTTTACTATTCATATAACGTATTTCTGATGTAATCAAAGAGGGTGTATTCTTTTTCTCCATTAGGATTTCATTTGTATGATGTAATTTTGGTTTAGGTGGTATATGTGGTACATTTTTTATAGATGACATTGAATATGTATAACCATCTGAATCAATATTAAGACTAAGTGTTGGTGAATGTTTACCTATAGATGATTTATGAATTGAATTATTTAATCCACCTAAATCTTTAATAGTAATAATACGTTCATTGGGAAATTTATTATTATATTTCGAATTAGAAGTGATATCTTCTGTAGATGTAGATTGAAGTGAAGGTTCATTAAGTGCTTCTGGTGATGAAATCTTTTTTACAATGTTATTATTCACTATGTGATTTGTATCTGGATCTACTTGTTCTATAATTATTCTATTATTCATACTACCTATTTTACTACTAGTAGTATGATTAGTATTATTGTCGTTACTAAACTCATTATTATTATGACTTGGATTATTGACAAATTCTAATTTGATTTCATTGTTGGAAGTATTTGTATAGTTAGACATTGGTCGACTACTTTCATTAAGATGTTCATGTTTTCTATTATTCGAATCAAGATTTGTTTGTTGTTTGATGATCTGTATTTTAACCTCTTTATCTCCACTTTGATCATGACTTTCTTGTTGTTTATGTTGGTCATACAGTGATTCTTTATGTTTTATCTCTTGTGAATCAATCCAATGATTATAATCTTGATTCTCTTCATTATCAGTAGTTATAGCAATAGCATCTTCATCATCATCATCATTATCTTGTTCATTGGGATATCTTGATGAATGTATCATAAAATCTTTATCTTGATATTCATCAGGTGGAAGTGGTGATATAGTTGGTGAACTTGCTGTATCACCTAATGTACCAAGTTGAATCCATTGAGTAATATGTTGTTGTTTATCAGCTTCATTCATTTGTCTTGGTTTAATATCAACAATAATTTTATTACAATCTGATCTAGTTGTTTGGTGTGAAGGTTTTGAACTTCTCGGTAAATTATCACATAATTGAACTTGATCTAAACTGGCAACGTTACTATTTGGAATGACATTACATTGAGAATTATTACGTATATTGGGATTGTTAGATCTTCTGTCAACTGATGTATAATATATATTGTCTTCTTGAGAATATCCAGGAGATTGATATATAATCCGTTCATAATCATCTTCCATATCATGATGAGAATGATTATTGTGGTTATTAGTTGAATTAATAAATTGAGGGGTTGAACACTTATCCAACGATAAGCATGAATAACCAAGAGAATAATTTGAATTTTTTGCTTTTTTACGTTTCAACGATGAACGTCCACATCCTTTACAAATATAGGTGCGTACTTTTTCATTAGATCTAGTATTTAGAAAGCTATCACTGTTATCTCTATGTCGATGATGGTGATGATGATGGTGATGTTGACGACGGTTATTATTGTAATGATGATGGTCAGTGGCACTTTTTCTATAAGATATGAAGTCGTCATTTTGTACATTTGGTAAAGAACTGGAAGTAGGTGCAGGAATAACAAACATTGCAGTTTTATACAAACCAATTTCAGTAGTCTGTTCAAGATTTTTTTGTGATGGCAATCTTGAACAAAGTGAACGTGTTGATAAGTGTTTTTCATGACTGCTTAACGGCCTATATGTTCCTGATAGATCATTTATATGAGGGGGATTCGATTGACTTTGTAAATTATAAAGAAGAGGACGTCTATGTGACTCAGTACCTGAAGAAAGGAAGTTATATCGGTCTTGAGCATCGGATGTATTCTCTTGATTATAGTCTACTTTAAATGGATTTGAATGGGATCTTACTGATGAGTAAAATTTCAATCCATTATTCAATGATTTATGACTGAAGGAGCCTGTGATTGTATTGAATCTTGAATGTGATCTATTACTGGAATTATTCTTATTATTTAAATGTTTATAACTATTCAACTCAATTTCGTAACTTGATCGGATATTATAGTTCCTATTAGATTGAATTTGTACATCATGAGGTTGTGATGAATGACTTTCACGTGAATAATCCAGTTCAGGATACTTGATTAAATAATCTGAATTCATCACTTGGAAATGGTTACTGGAATAAGTTTTTGGAGCTGAAAGTGGACGATAGTTTTCGGATGTATCGTTTTTTCTGTAGTTATAGTTTGGAGTATAAATGATAGAAGGTTCAAATTTACGAGAAACTGAACCACTTCGTCTAATTTGTGATCTGCCTCCAACTGGTAAAGTATATGTTCCAGAAGTAAGCGTTGATTCACTGATCGACGATCCTAAAACGATTTTTTTTTAAAAACCATTAAAAATACAAATAATAAATGTTATATCTGTCAGATTAGTAGATTGGTAAGCAATTATCATAGATCTTGATCATGTTAGATTTAATAGACTTGAATGTCTGAAGGGCCCGGTCAAGCAGTCTTGCAAGTTTCCGAAGCAAAACACAGGTAATGAAAACAAATTAGTCAACTGAGGAATCATATTCATGGAAAACATGCGTATTTCATTCAGGTAAATACTTCAAGAGTAGACATGGCCGATCATACTTAATTTGTGTGTCATGTTGTTCATCGTTGAATTATGCATAACGTCAAGGTTTCCAGTTACACGATTATTACATACTGAAATTGTAGGTAAATAAACATTTTCATAAGGGGGTTTTGTGAAGATTTTAGTAATTTTATGTAGTTGAAATCATTAGTCAATTGAAGCTAGACCACCATGGAAAACATGGAAGCAGTAGATGGGCGTTTCGTCTTATTGGGGGACTGCTGTGTTATTTTAAAAACTGTATGGTGTGTTCATTTTTTCCTTGCAAAATACACCACATTATGGGCAATACATATGTTTTATCCTTGTTTCACCTCTTCTAAAAATACCTGGAATTCTCCAGATTTTAATCAAGTTAACATAACTTGTACCTTTACATTTTATCATCCATCTCATACCGTGCAATTTCAGCTTAGTATACTTACTTACTTACTTGCGCCTGTTACTCCCAAAGGAGCATAGACCGCCGACCAGATTAGTATAGCACTCTCAAAACCATGATTTTATCTTTCTCAAATTGTGATCAGATTTCAGTAACTTTAAGACGGTTTGTATGGTACGTTTTATCAACCCTTAAACATTTGATTGTGTCGTGTCTATAGGTGATTTCACTTCACCAGCACTTTATACAAAAAGTGAAGTGTCGGTAAAAATTTATAAAAAGACGGAAACATTTCATATCCTCTTGAATACACAAGATCTATATTCCACCTGGTCTTTCATCATGGTTACAGTGTTTTTAAGTGCTACAATTTGATAGTGTGATGACAGGAGTATTAGTTGTGATAAGAATAATAAAGGCTTGTATGCATGTTTCATAGTGGGAATGAGGTTATTGATTTGGAAAATATAATTGCTGAGATAACATTTATAAAATCCATGATATTATGTAATAGTATATGTTCAGATAATTGGACAATAAAGCGTATATTTGGGAAAAAAAAAATAGGTGCAAGGGAATGAAGGAAAATAGACGAACAAATAGTATGGAAGATAATCATAAATAAAATCATTAATAAGGCCAAGGGAGAGAGATAAAGTTGTTATAAATATAGAGACTTGGATTGTTAGCCCGAATTCCTATAGCTTCTGCAATATGTGTAAGAGACGAGATCGAAACCCATAAAGAAAACTAGTAGGAATACGATAAATCACTTTAACTGATCTATTTCTTTATAAGCAAAGATGGACGGTGGCTAGCATTGAAATCCAAGACACGCGTTCGGTCCTGTTTGTGACGAATCAGCTGGATGTAAAAGCATCTCGAAGTTTAGATTCACTCAGTGACTCGAACCCAGTACTCTTCATTGTCCAATTATCTGAACATATATTATTACATAATATCATGGATTTTATAAATGTTATCTCAACAACTATATCTCTCTAATCATTGGCTTCATTCCCACTATGAAATATGGATACAAGCCTTTATTATTCTTATCATAACTAATACCCCTGTCATCACACTATCAATTTGTACTCTTTACTTATTATATTTAGTTATGTAATCTATTTTAATATTATCAGTGACTCACAAATAGCCTTGATTGGTTTAATAATTTCGTATATAAATCTAAATAATCGAATAAAACCTGATAAGGATCTAATTGGAAACAATATTATTCACTTAGATACATACCGATGAAAGCTCAAAAAACAAAAATCTATCTAAAAACAAAATAATTCAATCATAATCAATAATCTTCTGCTTTTAATGAGTACTTTGTAACTAATCAATAACCAACACCACCACACCACCACCACCATCATTATCATCATCACCCCCCCCCTGTTGTTAATCAAATTAATAACTTTTTCAAGTTACAAAAAGTACACGAGATATTCCGAATTCCAACCGCCTCTCTCTCTCTCTTATTTTTTCTACTTTTTTTATTTTAATCAATAAGCTATTTGAAAATTAAGTTAACAATAACTTAATATAAATAATTACATTATTAATACAATTACCTTCTTCTTTTTTATTACACTTTGGTTTAATTATTCACAGAAGAAGAAGTGAATTGTAAGTAAGGATAGATAGTGGCTAGTAGTGAAATCAAGGATGCACCTTTCGTTCTATTTGGGACTCATCAGCTGGATGTATATACATCTCAGAGTTGATATTCACTCTGGGACTCGAACCCAGTACTGTTCGCTTCAAACGTCACTACGTTACCCTATCAGCTATTGAGTCCTGATAGCCACTTGCTTTTGCGATGTAGTGAAGTTTAAATTCACTTGGTATTGTTTGTTTGAATCTTCTCATTGATGTTTAGGACTGTAATTGGTCAGCCTCTAATTGGCATATGTGCATACTGTGCTTACTGCTTTGATATAGCCTTACTTCACAAGCATGGTAAGCAAAGATGGATAGTGGTTAGCAGTAGAATCCAGGATGCGCGTTTTGTCGGACTCTTCAGCTGGATGTACATGCATCTCAGAGTTGATGTTCACGTGATGGCGTTTGAAGCGAAAGGTACTAGGTTCGAGTCACAAAGTGAACATCAACTCTCAGATGCAGGTACATCCAGATGAAGTCACAAATAGATCGAAACGCGCATCGTGGATTCCACTGTCAACCACTATCCATCTTTGCCTAATCCATAGAAGATTTGATCAGTTATTATCTTTTAGATCAGTTAAACTCTTATTAATATGCAATATGGTATGAATTAAAAAAGTAATTGTAAACATTATCATTATATATAAGTGAATTCATATGATTGTCACTTTGGTAAACAATTATCCATTCATCTAACAATCTATCAATGTTTAAAGTGGTGAGATGTTGATCAATAAGAAGCTATAACTGATTTTTAGTATTTTACAAATTTGTTTAACAACAAGACTTATGTTTAGTTCTAAAAAGTATTGATGTTATCTTAATAGTTGAAATCATGAGTCTATTGAAGCTAGACCACAATAGAAAACCTGGAAGCACTGGATGACCGTTTCGTCCTATTGTGGGACTCCTCAGCAGTGTGCAACCACAATCTCGCCTAACAACATTCGCAACCAGAACCTATCAGTCTCGCGAGCGAGCACTTAACCTCTAGACTACTTTATTTTGTTTCCACCGATGAGACAATAATTTATGGACGACTTTTGAGCAACGCTATACTGATTTTGGAATTTCCACCTACTTACTAGAATTAAATGTTTTTTATAGAATAATATGAGGAACCAAGATTAAGATTTACAGTTAAAAGTTAAGGTTATAGATTAGATTTGATGTTTTCATAACGAACTGAAATTAGTTAAAATGTTAAAATGATATGTAACCAAATAAGTGAATGAATTTGGTGCCAAAATTCAAGGACCTATTATCTTAAATTATAGTCTCGCTATTTCAACCTACATAGATATATTTTTATTACTACATAAACAGCTATGTATATGTGAGTGTATGAACTCATATATACTAATAAATAACTGAAAAAAACATTGGAAAATATGTAACATTTTGTAAGCTAAGTCAACTATTCTTAAGTTTAATAGTAACAATTAAATCTTATTGATAATTTTAATAGTTGAGATCATGAATCAATTGAATCTAGATCACCATGGAAAACCTGGAAGCACTGGGAGGCCATTTCATCCTATTATGGTACACCTCAGCAGTGCTCATCCACGATCCCATCTCATGAGATTCGAACCCAGGACCTATCAATTTCGCATGCAAGCGCTTAACCAATAGATAAGTTTATATTGTGTATACATTAGAATTCCTGAATAATAGTTGTCAACGGGATGTATAATGAATGTTTCTTCTTCTTTGAAACTAATCATCTGAAAATATCTAAGTTACTAATCCCCTTAATGTAACTCTACATTTGTTCCAATCGTCTCAAATGTGAAGTATATTATTTATGAAACTTCAGAGTCCATGTAACCATCTATATGTTTAATGAATTCACTATTAAAATAATTTTTTATTTGTCTGGTTAATAGTACCTACTAGATTCTACTAATATATATCAGCGATTAGGAAGTATTTATTTGACTAATACACCATCATATGAAGAATATTCTAAATGATACAGTAATCATTAAAATATGATTTCATTTTTGAACTCATATGAATCAATGATCATTTACATTTTTAAAACATCAAAGACATTCAATTTTTATAGTAAATCAATTATCTTTAGAATATTAAGTTACAATTCAACAGCTAAGATCATTTCAACTTTATTCAAGTCATAATAAAAACATAACAACTGTACAGTAGCATCGTTGATTTATGTTTTACTCATGACAGTTTAAAACTTAATGTTTTCCATTATATATATATATCAGAATTCCTCTGTGTTTACTTTTGTCTAACTAAGCTCGTCTGTTATCAGACAAGCATAACTAATTTATATTCCTTATTCTTTATAACTACTCTTTTATAAAGCTAGTAGCTCTATTAAATTCTCAGGTTGTTTTTAGATAGAAATACTAAGAAAGGTTCATGAAAAACCATCAACTGTTCTTAAGTTCTTTATCTTAGTGTTCACTTTGATATAAAATTTACCTATTACCATATGATGTAAATATATGAAAAGTGATGAAAGTACCAAATACCTTATTTCATAATTTATTAAATAATTTTACCAGAAGGGAGTTTTGTGGAGATTTTAGTATCTTTATATAATTGAAATCATGAGTCAATTGAGGCTAGACCTCGAAGCACTGGACGGGCATTTCGTTCTTTAACGGGACTCCTCAACAATGCGCATCCACGATCCTGCCCTATGAGACTCGAACCCAAGACCTCTCAGTCTCGCATTCGAATGACTAACCACTAGACCACTGAGCTAGCCGCCATCCAATTGTGGTAATGTTTAACTGCAGTCCAGTGCTTCCAGATTTTCCATGATGATCTAGCTTTAATTCACTCAACATTTCAAACTATATAAAATAATTTTACACTTTTCTCATCTATATAATTGATTATAATATAACTGACTTATCAATGAAAAACCACCTAGAATATGGTTAGTAACCATAATTTACTAATATAGTAGTCATATTTGACATATATAAATAATCCATCATTAAATGACATAACTATTTAAAAGATTAC